TGTTTTTCCTGAGGTGAAGTAGGGAGGGGGAGATCCTGCATGTGGGACCCCTTTTCCCTCCCCCTTGGAATCCAGACAGCCCCTCCCCTCCCAGATGTGATTGACGGCTTTGTGGGCGGTGCCAAGCCTTGCTGCCCCCCCCCCCTTTCCCCGGATGGCAAAAACCTCCGGAGGGTTTGCCAAGAGGGAAGGCGAGCAGAAATCGAACCCGGGACACCCCAGGAAAAACACACACACACACAGAGGTGTCAAGCTTTGAATTCCTCATTTGCATCGCCCAGAACAGGGAGGGGTTTTTTAATTAATTGGTGGAAGGGAGGGGGGCAGATGGAAATGCCCCACCAGCAGTTTCCCCCCCCCCCCCACTGCTTTGTGGTTTCCTGACTCAGGGAATTCTCCGCGGGGAGGTGGGGAAATGCGGAGATCTAGAAAGTGAGCCAAGCCAGAGAGGAGAGGAAGTTGTTGCGTGAAGGCCGACCGCCTCCGTCGCAGGTTGGCCCGGCGGGAAGAAGGACCCGGCCGATGGCGTAAAGTAAATATTTGGGGCCTTCGCCCGTCACAAGGCGTCCTCGGCTTAACGGCCACAGTCGAACCCCCCCCCTCAAATTTCAGCTGCTAAGCGAGACAGTGGCGAAGCGAGTTTGGCCCCGTTTTACCACCTGTTGCCAAATGGACCTTTGCCGTTAAGCGAATCCGTCTTTCCCGTGGACGTAAAAGCCTGGAGATGCTTTTAAGAGGCCCGTTGGCGTGAGGATTAGATTTAGTTTTCCACCGTCGTTTTAAAAGTTTTTAAAAGTTTTTGCTACGTTCCTAAATCTGCCTTTGGCAGGGCAGGAAACGCTCTGCAGAGCGTTGATATGAACCCCAGGCAGGGACTGGCACCCATGGGCATTCAGGACGGGCACCATTTCAGATGGGCACGGACGGGCATTTGGGATAGGCAACGATGGACATTCGTGATGGGCACCGATGGGCATTTGGGACTGAAGGTATTCAGGACGGGCACCGTTTCAGATGGGCATTTGGGATGATGACTGATGGGATGGGCACCATTTCAGATGGGCATTCGGGGCTGGCACTCACGTCTCCTCCTCCTTCTTTCAGAGAACCTCATGAATACCAAATTCGAGACCGCCGACCTCCGATGGACCACTTACCCCGCTGACGATGCCGAGGTGAGCGGGGCAACGGGCCTACGATCTCCCCCTTAAGGGTCTGTGGGCTGGGAACGATGGGACTTGCAGTCTGTGGCCCCCCTGGGGGTGGGTGGGATGGTGAAGGGGGAAAAAAAGGAGCCCAGGTGAGACTCGGGATTTACACAATAGTGCAGGTGCAACAGGAAACGCTCGCTCGCCTCTCTGGTTCTCGCCAGGTTGCCAAATGGGGCCACGCCAATTTCGGGAAAACCACATTTTCAGAACGACGGGGAGCCGTTTGGCGCCCCCGGCAATCATGGGGTTGCGCAAGAGATCGCCAGCCGGGGAATTATTTATTTTATGTTTTGTTGTCATGAAAGAAAGGGGGGGGGCAAGGGGAACCCTGGGAGGCCCGGCGGCTCTTCATCGTCCTTGTGTAGACATTTGCACAGCCGAATCCGGCACCTCCCGGCTGCCTTGATTAAGGATAAATGTCAGCTCCGATCCGGGCGGCTGGTTTTGAAAGCGGAGACAAAGCCGGTCGGGTCCCTTCAGGAAGACGAGCGAGGAGGGTGGATACTCACCCGCCGAATCATTCCACTTTCCTCCCCAATTAAAGTCGTCGAAAGAAAGGAAAAAAACGCGTCGTTCTCAAAGATGGATCTTGTCACTTTTACTCAAGCCGCCGGGCAGCTGCTTCAAGGGCATGTCGATCAAATAAATAACAAGCCCATTATAATAAGAGATAAATAATAAAAGAGGTCACAAAATAGATAATAATAAAAGAGGATAATAATAATAAAAGAGTTGGAGTGCTGCGGTGGCCTGGAGACGGAGCTCTCGCCTCCCGATCAGGAGGCTGTGAGTTTGATCCCAGGTAGAGGCAGCTATTTCTCTCTCCGGGCACACTGGGAATATATATCTGCCGAACAAAACTCCGCAATGGCAACAGGGAAAGGCATCCGGNCCCCCCCCCCCCCCAGTGGGCTCTGCCATCTATCGGACGAGATTCCCTGGTGGGATTTAAGGGCTTCTCGAACCGCCAATCCCGGAGACTGGTGGACTTCAACTCCCAGAATTCCCCAGTAAGCATGGGGGGGGGGGAAATCACAGGGGTGGGGCAGATACTCCCCCCCCCAATCGGTCCCTGGTGGGTAGGGTCATTTGCATCACGGCCGGTTGGGGAATTCTGGGAGTTGAAGTCCTTTTATTCCTCCCAGCAGCCTCCTGGGTTCCAGGTAGAACCCCTATTTACCCTCCCCACAAAGCCTGGGGAATTCTGGGAGTTGAAGTCCACGAACCTTAAAGGGGCCACGGTGGAGACGCCCTGCATGAAGAGGGATGGACTGCAACCCCCAGAATTCCCCAGCCAGCTTTGCAACTATTTCCAACTGTTTTCCAAGCGTTACAGCAAAGCTGGCTGGGGAATTCTGGGAGTTGAAGTCCACGAGCCTTTAAAGGGGCCACAGTGGAGACCCCCTGAATGAAGCCAGCCTTCTCTGGGTCCCTTCTTGCCTTATTCCACCCGTGGGTGGGTGGGTGAATCTGTCCTGGGGGGGCCCTCCCTTCATTATCCAGGGCGTGGTCCCCAACGTTCAGACAAGAATCGGGCGGCCTGGCAAACTGGATCCAGCATTGCCCACCTCCGCGAAGGGAGAAGGTGGCACAGCTGCCGGGCCAGTCAGGGGTGGGTGGGTGGGGGGCAGGCTTCAACCTGCCTGAGTTGAGGGAGGGTCTGCGGCTTCTCTTCTGGGGGGGGGGAAGGTTGTTCCTGGGGAATCGGTTGGCCCAAAGACGCCCGCCCGACCTCTGGTGTAAGATGGGACGGCTGTTACGACGTGCCAGTCAAACACGCTGGGCACCGTGCCCAAGATTTAATGAGGCAGCGTTGCTGAACGAAGGGCGCGGCTGCTTCCCTCCCTTCGCAGGCTGGAATCTTCAGGGGGGGGGGAGGGATCCAGAGGTTCCAGGCCAGGGAGGGTCTCTTGACCGCCCCCAGGGGGCCACAGAGAGGGTGAGCCCCTCACCCACTTTCCCTAAGCAGCCCGGAAAAGTGTTAAGCTGGCAACGGCTACCAGTCATACATCTGGGGCGGATTTGGGCAGGAATGAGAGTCGGTCGATGGATATGGAGAGCAGGAATGGCGGTGCACTGGAGGGGGGGGGGAACCAGTTCCAAATTGAATTTTTTTTGGGGGGGGGGTATGAAAAATTAGGATGGAGCCTGAAAGGAAGGAGGCTGTATTGCCAACCTGGTGCCCTTCCTGCTTGAAGACCCAGGAGTGGAGGGGTCTCTATTAAACCCCCCCCCACACTCCTTTTTGGCTTCCTTCCTGCCTGTTTCGGCGGGGGGGGGGTCCTCCTTAGCCTTACGCCGTCCTGTAATTCCCCAGGGTATCCCAGCATTCATTTAGCCGGTGGGCGGGGGGATACACAGGGGAGTCTGGTTTTTAATGAGGAGGGGTCTTTAAGGGAGGGAGGGGTCTTTAAGGGAGAGTTTTTAACGAGGAGGGGTCTTTAAGGGAGGGGGGGGCTGATGATGATGCAGATCATGCCAGTCTGGGCATCTGATGGAGCATGGAAAGTATGCTCCCTTTACGATGGGTGAACTACAACTCCCAGAATTCCCCAGCCAGCAGGGCTGGCTGGGGAATTCTGGGAGTTGCAGTCCACCCGTCGTAAAGGGGCCCATTTTGCCCACCCCCCACAACAACCGCCAAGGGTAGCAACCACCTTCAATCTTGCCCCCTCTTTGGCTGCCTCCTAGCCTTCCCCTCTCAACAACAACACTTTGAGGCAGGCCACCCCCCATTTCTGAGGCTCTCCCGCCTCCCCAGCTCAGGGAGGGGGCTTGAGGCTAGGCCGGAGCAGCACAGCTGAAAGGCTGGGGAGGGGGCTTCTCCTTGGTGGTCTTGATGGGACGAGGGGCTCCCTCCCTCCAGCCTGCGCCCCCCTCCCCAGGAGCAGAAGCATGGCTGGAAGGGGGAATGGTGTATGCAGAGGGGGGGGGGGGGGGGGGGCTCGGCTGGCAGGGTGGGGTCTGTTTCCTGCCACTGGGCGGCAGCTGTTTGGGGAAATGACGCCCGTCCGGCTTTTTATAAATATTCCCCCACCTTTGACCCTC